ATACAAAGCGCGACCATCATCTACAATCATTAATCATTATCTTTCCAATCACGACATGATCGGAATCTATTAATCACAACTGCTCACTGCGAGTTCGGTAATCTATCTCATATGTGATCAATAATAGGTGGATCGTGACTGTGATGAGATTATTATTCATCAGCTGACTTAGATTATTTTCATTCAACTAAGCAGAGCTCATCATCTGAGAACAATGTTTTAGGTATATTATCTACATTTATAACATGTGTTTCATCCTGAAAAATATGGTCATTACTGTTGGTAGCTTGTCTACTGAATGTAATGATAGAATGGGAGTGAGGAAGGAATTTTCAATGCAATTGAATTAATTTCGAATGAGTAAATCAAGGTATAATTGGAATAATATAGAAGCGTCTGAATTTTGAGTGATACGACCATGTCATTTAGTTACTGATCATATTATCAAACAATCAATTTCGTACACCGGACATGATTTCCTATCAAACTTAACTTATATTAGTTTGTCTCTAAAACTGATTTTGAGGTGTTGTTTTAATATTTTTAAAATGGATTGCATAGTAAATTGAATAACACTCAGGAAACTCCACTTTTACATGTAATTCCTACCGAACCAAAACATATTTCAGTATCATTGAAATCAACAATCGATCTAAGTTGAAACACCACTAGAAATCTGGATGCCCTTGGTGGCCGTTTTACTCTAGTATGTGACTCTTCAGACGTGAGCATCCACGACCCTTTCACACGGAATTTAACCCATGACATTCACTTTTGCGCAAACTGCTTAACTCTAGACCATTAACTATGGAAACCAAAGGACGATGGTTGCAATGTGTCGAGGAATGATTGAATGTAAAACTTAACACCACCGGATGCCAACCCAGTGGTCTAGATATTTTGTGTTCGCGCACGATACTGATTTTACTGGGCGCGGTCGTGGTTGCTTGCTACTGAGGAGTCCCATATTAAGATGAAACAGCCACCAAGTGCTTCCAGATTTTCAGCGGTGGTCTGAGTTTGATCGGTTGATGAGTTGAGTGAAGTTCAATTATCGTCACAACCTTTTACTGGGTAATCTTGTTTGTCTTTAGTCCTGATGTAATATATGCTACTTAACCTGACAAATATAAGTAGTATGTGGCCGCAATCAAGAGTGAAATGACTGACAGCATAATTGAAGAGAATGGGATGGAAATCGAATAGGAATCAAAATAACAACAGAATTAGAAGGAGATGTGCAAACGATGTATTCATTGTATGATTTTCATATTTTACTAAACAACTGTGTTATTTTGCATTGAACAACACTTTAGTTCTCCATACTAACTATTCGTTCATCACGCTGATATCTAAAAATCTTAGTTTGAATCCAATTAAGGTCAGGATGTTGTTTCTTTTATCTGTTAATTTACTATTTTCCAAATCGGAATTTCGATTAGTTTGGATTTTACAACCAAATCAAAGATAAGAGAAGGATGTAATTTATCTCAGTATTGCGTGAAGAACAAAAATGTGAGTTTATATTTACACTTACTGTATACTATACGTTAAGTTTCCCACTGATTCTATCATATTTTATTGTATTAGCATGACGATTAGATTTTTTATATCCCAAACTGACTAGCAAATTCTACTCTAATAGTTTAATTATCACCTGCTCATCTCCATAATTTAAGATCCTGTTTCGATCCAGTAAGTGATTTTCTGTATCCATGACTCATGAATCTCAGAATCGAACTGAAGTATTTTTACATTTGTTTATGACTTATCGTGATCTTTCAATGCTTAATTTGCTTGCTTAACTCAATTTTTATTGATCTCTACCAAATAAATATTTCTTTCAAGATTTGTCCATGTTTTAGAAGCAGTATGCAGGAGAAAAAGGAGTATTTGATAGCCTCTTATCAAAGTGTAGCTAGAATTCATCACCATTAGTTCAAGACACATCACAAAGATAACAACCTGAATGAATTATCTACTGAAGGATCTAGATGTTTTTGATATCACGTGTCCGTATATACATATCTGTGGTGGTCGGTATCCGATATAATCCTTAACTTCGTATACAGTTCGTCTTGCTAACCGTTCTAAATAACGTCTCAACGGTATATTAATCAGAAGGCAAATACGAAGTGTTGATTACGTTTATTGCGAGACCACACACATATATCCAAAATTACAGATGCATTAAACGAGCATTAAGAGTTGTGCCGAACAGCAAACAGGCAAGCAAGCGACTGAGCGAATATAAGTAATCGAGTACAATCAAACGAGCGAGAAAGCAGAGTCAGCCAAATGAATAACATGGACATATATATAGCATGTGAAATTAATGAGTAATCGAATCAAATAATCAGTTAGTAGTAAGACTAGCAGAGTGAATAAATGCGTAGCGCGTAAGCAATATTCAAGCATGCATATTTCATACAAGCACAAAATAATAATAAGGGTACAATAAATTGTTATAGTGCGGATGGCTTTGTCCGCTAAATAAGTTAGCTAAAGGGCTTAACTGAGTTAAATGAGAATAAACACATTTACATGTGAATCGCTATATATCACTAATATAGAGCATTATGTAAATATTGAATACTATTAATTTGAAGGACTCGCACCACATCAAACATTATGTTTCATTAAAATGTGTGTGGTTATCAGTAGATGTAAAAAATTTTTATTCATAACTGATGTGTTTCGTTTTATAAAATTTTAGGTAGTAAACTTTCTTGCTGTTACTATGGGTAACAGGTTTTATTTGCACCTCCAAGATATACTGGTAATGCGTTCAAAAGACATTTGAATGTTTCAGCCAAACGTTCGTACAAGTTTTTCCTGAATGTGTAGAATATGAAGAAAGTGATAGAAGCGATTAATATTTGTTCATGAAAAAGTAAGTGTAAACGTGTGTACAATGAAGTGAATATACAAAAATGTTTGAGTCAAAATGAAGTTGGATTCGTCTCATTGATCATAGATCACGTGTTTATAGGATAAATATATTCTTAGAATTTCCTTGAAACCTCTAACACTCCACCAGTACTTTATGTTATGTACCAATTACATAACATTTTTGGTATGACCCGATTGAGTGAAAAATAGATTCTACTGTTTCGTTAAATGCAATGATTACCCTTTAAACTATTTTATTCTTAAGTATAATACAAACACACTGTCTTGAAAAAAATACTATTGTCAACAGTGAGTAATGTAAATCCATATCTGTGAACTGAAATAAGTTGCGTGTTATTATATACTGAACAACATGATGTTAACACAAGATCTGGCAACAACCGTCGGTAAAAAACTTAAGATGGACTGATAATTTTATTTTGTTAAGTCGAATATCTTTAAATTAACGCGTACTTAGATAAAGTATACCGTGATAGTATTTGCTAATGTGTGTTAGAAGAATGTCAAGTTCCAGAGTGAACATCAACTCTAGAATGCAGGTACTCCAGCTGACGAGTTCCAAATAGGACGGAACGTGCGTCCTGGATTCCACTGCTAACCAATATCAGTCTCTGTTTATGTCAGCATTTTTAGTTTACTTTTCTAAAATAATGCTCATTATAACTGTTTGGGATTTTTCTACTCCAGTAGAACATTCAATATTTTCTAAAACGTATACCTCAAGATCATTTGTTAGTATGCAGCATAAAATACGAATTAATTAAAATGGATGCTTTCTACTTTAAATGTGAACAAGTTTAGCTTAGTTTAACATGCTGAAAAACGTTCCATGGAACTTTTGAGCTGAATATGTCATTAAGTACATATTATTTTAAAAATCATTCTGTTCATTATAGAATGTGTATCAATGATTTACTCTTACTACTAGGATGGTCATATTAATTGGAATAATTTTTCTACTAGAGTATTGTCAGAATCTTCAACTAATTGATTAGCTTATAATCTATAGCAAGTTGAATAAGTCATACTCGAAACTGGGAAACTAGACGTCAAGTGATCTTTATACGTATATCAATGTAGCTGAAAAAATAATTTATTACCTATCGTGCAACAAACTTTCATGAACTTATCTCTCTGTGTTCGACTTCTATTACACACCTATATTTTGACTAGAAATATGTATTACATATTAGGAACGTAATCGTGTCAATCGTTAACGACTATTTTGTTAAATGTAAATTTAATATAATTAAATATATCTTAATGGTTAAGATCATGAGTTAGTGGAAGCTAGGCAGCCATGGAAAACCTGGAAGCACTGGTGGGTTCGAATCTCGCAGGGGGCGAGGTCGTGGATGCGCACTGCTGACGAGTCCCACAATAGGATGAAACAGTCGTCCAGTGATTCCAAATGTTCCATGGTGGTCTAGCTTAACCATTGAAATTACTACAATCTCCACAAAAACCCATCTGAAATCAAATATATATCCATAATAGTGTAGTGTTGTACAACGAATAATTCATATTCATTTATTATTCTAAGATATTAAGAGCAGTAAACATTAGATTATATCAATCAATCCTTAGTTTACTAGTTAAAACACAAGAGTCTGCAATTAATTAAGATATGTATTCAATTTAGTAAATATAAGATATCATGATTGTGATAAGAGATGATCTTGATAATTTTGTTTCGATCCAAGATTGCATCGTTCCGTATTAGCCATGAATACTATCAGCTGTATAATAAGTAGGATAATAGAGAAACTGACTTACCAAAGGTCTAAGATAAGCTGTCTGAAGTGTGATAATAGTTTTTTTAAATGACACTATCATCGTTTCTACAGAAAGTCATGAATAACTTTGAAAATTTAGCAAAATTATGATTTCTGTCTATATGCAACAACAATTAGTAGAAATAAACTAAAAGATTTCAGCTGTCGTTACCTGCCACATTGGGTTCTCTACCGTTGTAGTGAACCGAACACGGGTGGGGACAACCGAACGTACTTAGCACAAAATTACAGGATTACGCGGTAAAATAGAAAAACCATATTAATCCATCATATCAAACCGAACTGTTCCTGTTGCAATCATCGATCGATTGTCTCACATTTGATTGTTCATGAGTCTTCTTACAAATTGCATTGTGTTCCTGCTCTTCCTTTCTTGATCTTGCCCCATCTTCTGCTGCCAGACATTATGTTTTGCAACTCGCGTCATATACTATTTACATCAATATAAGTAGCACGCACCACACCGTGACCCAATAGATTAATACTTAGAAAGAAATATCTATGCTAATTACTTTTCACACATTTCTTGAACACATAAAGATGATATTGAAGTTTACTTTCACCAAATAAAAACATAACAAATTCTTATTGATATACATATCAGGAGAAGTAAGTATTTCTCAGTGTTTTGCTTATAGACTTAACATTTTCTCTCTATAAATGTACAGCATACGTTTTAATAAACTCAAGCACTAAATCGTTCAAACGGATTTATCCACAATCTCATTTTATGTACTTTCTCAGAATAATACTATAACATCAGAACAATAAATAAACTCTTACTTCCAATCATATTTGTTTATAAGGATAATGAGATTAAGCATCATTTTATTGAAGGTTATTGACTTATTTACATACAAAAGTATCTATAATTGTACATATTCAATGATGAAGTAACTAGTTAATAAGTGATTATTTAGAATAGAAGGGAACTTCACATTATACATTGAAAATAACTTAATTTCAACTCACTCTAAATTGAAGATAACTGAAATATATATATACATATATATAATGCTTACGTGGATAACTCTGCTATCGTGATTAGTTGGTACCATGTTAAATCAAGGTCAGAATACATAACTGACCATTTTTCTAAATGTTTTATACATCATGTAAGATATTATTGAAGATTTGACTAACTCATTGTGAAACTACCTTAGAATATCGAATTCCTGGTAATATAGACGGCTACATTTCTGTTGGATAACACTATTCAACAGCCGATATACATTTTATAAATATTGATCAAATTACAAGTAGACAACATGTGAAATACATTGAAATAACAATTGGAAGAACTGATAAATATAATTGTTTCCCTTTACAGATTTAGCTTCATTTAAATAGCTAATAATATACTTCATGAAATACAAATCAGTATCAATAATTCCTTCCAGCACAAGCTAGTCAACATGTAGACAGTAAAAATAAAATAATTTCATTCATAAACGAAACCGATGAGACTATAATTTATGGACGACCTTTGAGAGACGCCAGACTGACCTTGAGAATGTCCACCTAATATCTAAGACCAAATGAGGGTTATAAACCTATGTGAGGAATTAGAATTATGATTTACAATTGATTGTTAAGGTTACGAATTAGATTTAGGGTTTTCATCCCGAACTGATATCAAATATAATGCTAAAACTCTATTTATCCAAATGGATGAGTGAATTTCGCACCATTATACGAGACCTGTTATCTTATACCTGATTGGTTCGTCCATAAATTATAGTCTCTTCATGAAATCATCTCGTTTCTACAATTCATTAGGTTTATCATATAAGTTGAAAGAGTTGTTCAGGGCTGCTTGCTTTGCATTTTGCTCTGTTTTATTTTATTTTATAATGACAAATTAGAGATAAATGGTCATAACATGATATTTACAAACTGTTGATTTCCATTTTTTTTTTCTATTACAAAAGTAAACCTAATGTCCATTGACTGAATTTGGTCTTTTCATATCTGAATACTGTCAGTAATTATATTTCTATATTTGTTATAACGGTTGGTTTTCCCATGTTTACACGTATGGGACGTTAATTTACCTTAGACGAATATCTACACTAGTTTCCCTCCCAGTATTCTACTCTACAGGACCTCAACACAACTCAGATCGAAAACACGTGATTAACCTGACTAGAATGTAAATATATTTCCAACACAAGCCAACAACAATGAACAATCAGTGATAATAATTATAAGGATATGGGAATATATAACACATCTGACACCTGTCAAACTATCTACATGTTTGACTAAGCGGACAACAAATCATTATCATTCTCGCCCACACATCAATATTCTTTACCGCTAAATAGTTTTCTTCAAGAATAGATAGTAAGGTTTTCACATGATTACAACCAATGTGAAAAACTACTATCATATTCAAATGCAAACATTTGTACTAAAACAATATTTACTGAAGTTTATGTCTTTCAGTTATAAGGTATTCCACATGCTTATTTCTATTCGTTCCACGAATTAGTCACTTAGTGCATTTAAAGTATCATAAAATTTATTGGTTCTTAAATGACTTAATCAACTTATTTTGTTCGCAACTTCTCTGATTAGAGATAAATAAGACAAATGGTTTTTGTGCAGTTTCATTCTTGTAATAAGGTTTCTCTCAATCGAAGTAATAAAATGCTAGGTATAACTAATATGACTGGTTCAGCTGTTCTATAAATGGTTACCATAACTTTATAGGAATTACCACACAGAATGCATGTAATCTATTATGTTAAAAAATATGTTTAACATTATTTCAACAGGATATTAGCCATGAAAATATTATATTGGTAAGCATCCTAAGCGTTTTCAAAAGTACTACCTCCACTTCCCGTTCGTCCTAAAATTAAAATCAATAATGAAGATATTTATTTTGAGAATTACATACCGAAATTATTAGTCAGAATATATTTGAAATACAGGCGGTAAACAGTCATGTATTTAACCACAAACAACTTCAGTTGATGAAATCGTGAACTGATCTAAGTTAGACCATCAGGTTTTCAGTGATCGTCCTTTCGTGATCTCAATGAAAGTCAACAAATTCCCTTACTCCTAACTGACAATTTCAGTGAGATATTTTATCACATCATAAGTCTATATATCTGTTAGGTAGTGTTTTCTGTTTAAGTTTTCTGTGCAATGAATTAATAGCTATTTGTTACCCCCAAAAAATCCATCGTTTCCATACATGTGTTACATCAATGGTTATCATCCAACCTGAATATAAAGCATCGCTATTGTAATGACAGCAGATATTTCAGTTTATAAACTTATTATGCTAATAATAAACCAACTTAAAGTTCATACTCAGTATCTGGTTTATTTTCAGTTTGAAAGAATAGTAAATAATCAACATTGTCAATTTTAAAAATTCCAAGGTCACATGAATAACTGATTACATTATTACATAATCCTACAACGTTTCTGTGTATTTTACACTTAAGAAAACGAAGGAATTTTTGTGGTATGATTGGACAAGTAAGATATTTAAATAAATCTACGGGCATACTGAATCTGACCTTTAACAGATAGTTAAGACTATTATTTGATATTAGGTTATCCAATGTAAGGTAAACTGAGATGTTATATGAACATAACACTAAAATGTATCGTCTTCGAAATAATATTCTATGAATAAATAGTATATTTGTAATATCCCAATGAGTAGAAAAATTAGATTTTCTGACGTTTCGTGACTTAGTGTAAGTCACTTCTTCAGAGAATAAATAACTAAATTAAAATTAATCCAAGTTTAAATAGTACAACGGAACAATAAGAATAATATGTGACCAATCGAAAACCGATCTAAAAACAGGGTTGAACAGGTTAATGTCATGTCATTTCTGTCAAGGTGATTTATAATTGATATGTATGTAAATTTGTGTGTATGTATGTGTGTATTGTTTAAGGGTGAAAAATTGTGTGACATTTATGGTGAGAAAGGATAGACTTTTATTTTGTAAGATGATTGTGTGAATTGTAAATAGGATCAAACTGAATGACTAAGATAGATAGTCCATGTAGGATGTATGGTAAGGCCTTCTATGAATCAGAGTATCGTTGAAATTTTCTTAGAGAAAAACTCCTTCAAACTAATCTTTAATAACAATTGACTGTTTACACTCAACTCTATATTCTATGGATAAGTTTAATGTAAGTTGTTAAATAATATAAACTTTTTCTAAAATTTTACTTTAACACATAATTGTCAAGACGTACCATTCACTTCTTGTAATATGATCACTGAAAGTAAAAACAAAGATCGCAGTAAAATTTTATTGAAATCCATACGATTAATGAATCTAACTACTATACCGTCGTTTAGTCTTCGGTATTGATAAATAAATAGTGACTGCAGTATAAATAGGTAATCTAGATCATTATTATGTCAGCCAATCATTTAGTAACCAATGAAAAGTGTTGGCTAAACAAAGTGTGTTCTATTTTTACTTCCTAAAATCAATCCATTGAATACAATTTATTCGTAATATCATGAGAAACAATAAAGTACTAATTGTACATTTCGTTACATTTCGAGCATATAAACAATCTCAAACATAAACATAAACACACACACACACATGCAAAACAAAGCAACTCATATTACAATTGATCAAAAGACTTAATTATGCAAATTATATTGCCATCAGCAGAAAATCATACAACTAATAAATCAATATACAATTTCGGATTCAGATTCCTTTTCACTTCTTCCATTTACAATTTAGAATAAGAGTTGTGAACATGACAAGAGTAAAATTGTATTTTCAGATATTGGCTAGCAATCCTATCTGGGATTTATGTTTTGTTTTCTTTGAAATCTTCATTTTAGTATTCATATTCTCAGTATTCGTTTATATCGAATCTCTTTTAACGAAGACAGATCCTGTATGAAATCGATTAGATCATGTTGTGTTTTGCAGTGCCCGATTTTAATAATGATGTTCAATCATCCCATATATGAGTGCAACCATCTATTCGAGTGAAAAGACTCAAATTAAGAGAAAAAGTTTATTGACCAAACGAACCAGAACATGTTTATTAAAAAACTCAATCACCAATGATCTATTTATTATTTCTGGGAGATTTTAACTATTTCTTGTCTAATAACGTATACTTATCATTTTATCGACTTTGGATTGATCCAATGTATCAGTTAACGTGTAAAGGTACAAATACAAATATTTACCTGTTTGTAAATGCCTTTTATTCATAATCAACGGTGAATACAACCTTTGCCCAAAATGCTGTAGGGATATCTATATATAATAATGTACTCATTTCCATCGACCTACATTAATTTCAACATCAACGCCAATATTCCTTGAAAGAATAGTGGTAGGCTTATTAGACTGTAACTTCATATCTTGAAATAAGAGTTGATTGGAGTTTCATTACTAACCAACATCATTTGGAGAATTATTAGAAAAACATGAATGAAGATATACATATGGTAATATTAGTTAGCCCCTCTACAGTTGGCACCCGATGCATCCACGTAGAATTGAACGTAGGATCTCATATGACTCGAAGGCATGACTTTCAGGTTTCGTAATTGCTGCGATAGCATATTTATCAATGATCAATATTTCGAACTTCGGTCCACTGTCGAGGTGGCGAAATTTGTAATGAAGCAGTTCTTGATCAAAATTACCATAAATTGTTGATAAGATCAATTAGAAGCGTTCTAACGTGATCATGGTGATCATAGTATCTAGATTCCAGCTAAACATGGGAAGTAGATGCGTAAGAGCGAAATGTATGATTTGTAGGATGCAGAGTTAATTCAATGAAAAAAAAATTATTCACAGACATTGAAAATGACTTCATTATTTTTTAGGCCTAACAATAACCTTTCGTGGAATCACATTTCGTTTCTAAAGTATTCACTTCTGATAATTTGCAATTAATGTACAAAGTTACTTTCAAAGAGTTTGAGATATTTAAATTAGTTAACTCATCTATAGAAGTCAAGCAATATTATAAATTAATGATATGATATTTCGTTTCATTTAGGAACTACAGTTCCGATATTCAACATCAGCTATTTTTCTGACGAGATTTTTCTCACCGATTGATTTCTTTGCTCTCGCTTCTCGTCGTTTCGGTACGGATATACGTATTTTGTAGTCTCCAACGAGTGATAGTACAGTTACTTGACTGCATTAATTCTAGTAAGTATGATATTCGCTTGTGGACTTGTATATCTTGTGTTTTGAGGGAGTTTGTCTTAGAGCAACGAGGATCCTGAAAACCAGCAGCTATCAAATAACATGAAGGAGGTTGGTTGGTTGTAATCATAAAAATGATTAAGTGTTTATTCGAGCGCTAAAAGTAGACGATTGTCCCAAAAAATAAATAAGTTAACTAATTGGTAATTTGTGATAAGACTGAATTGACAAAGCAAAAGGGTAGGCGTAAATGATAATGAGAGAGATTGGAATTAGTTACTGATATGTGTTAATGATGATCGTTTAAATTATGGGACAGGTACCAGACACAGCTGATACGTGACGGAGATGGTAATCTACGTGTCAGCACCTGTTCATCAAGTCTCCTCTTAAAGCTATCCACTCATGGGGCTGTGATCACTTCAGTTGGGAGAGCATCTCGAACAGGGGCAACTCTTGTTCAGAAAAGTGAAAGCATACCTGGATATTCGCTTACTAAAACAACAGTTACAGTCATTTAATGTTAAATATAAATACGATGGAAGGTTGACAAAATAAATACAAATAACATTGAAAAGTATTTACAAAATAAACTTGTCAGTCATATCTCCACATAGCTCCCCCCAGAGTGTCCGGAGGTAACACTGGTTATAATAAAAAAAAACAATGTAAGGATATGATATATACATGTATAGAAAAATAATATTTACAGTTATAGCTAACAAAAATGTGGAGATGAGTATGACATGTAGCAGAGATGTAGTATAGCATAATAAACACACACAAAAAAATGAAGACACTGTCATTTAATGTCTTGGTTGGCTAACAATGATAATAATAAAGTGCAAAACTGCTAATGACCCAAAAGAAAAATTGAACTGTTCATTTTTGTGTACAATAAATGAGTAATTAAATAGAGTTTACTCGTTTATTATAGTAACAAAAAGTTTTTTATAAAAAAAATAAATGTGACAAAACGAATAATTGTGGAAAAATGTGATTATGTACACTGTGAAAAGGGAGAAAAGTTTTTTGGGTGGAATTAGTAGTGTGTGACATCGGTCGGTGTGTGCTTTGTTGTTTTTTTTTAAACGACGAAATGGACATAACGCTTGGGTTTGTTTATAGGTCTACCGGAGCGTGTTAAACAAGAAGGCTTAGTATTAAGTTTTTTATCCTCCACTGGTTTTTCGGTTACTGGTGGGAGGGGTTGTATGTCAACGGCGTTGTCTTCTTGGACTTGAGTAGCTTCATAGAAAGCAGGTTTGATTCTGTCTATAGAAATGGTGTAAGATCCATTTTGAATGTGTTGTGTGTTGGTGAAAATCCCTCCATGTATGTACTTGTACTTTATTCCTATTGATCACATTAGTTGTACATTGTTGTATTTTGATTACATTTGAATGGTTAATATTTGTATTTTTGTTATAGTTTTTGTTTTTATTACGCATTCACTAAGTTTGTGTTTCTTCCTGAACTGCATCTGCGTTGTTTTACTTGACACTTGTTCTTGGCGGTAGCCATATTGATTTGTTCCTCCTGTTGTGTGTGATCTATCCAGTCAGGATAGAATAACGTTCATTTGTTGTGAATGGTAATTTTTCCTCATCTTCTATCAACTTCTTTATTTATTGTAATTTAGATCTAATTGATTGAACAATCATTGGTTGAATAGCCGGGTGATAATATTTGTTTAGGTAATGATTTACATTAAATTTATTATGAATTATAGAACCGCTAGTTACCCGATTACTTGTTCTGATTTCGACGGGAAAGGGTGCTTGTCTAAAGTCACGGAAGGCTATTCTTCAACATCCAAACCGTAGTTTGGATCCTACAGTTCTAAACAAGTATTACTTGGCCGAAATCCTTTGGTAATCGTTCACGGATTTTCTGGAAATAATTGGTCGTGTCGCTTATAATGCCAGTTAATCGTCGAAGGAGATCAGGCTCGAAGTTCGTCGATGTTAACGAAGAATCCCCTATTGTCAAGCAAGTGCCTTTTGACGTCCTTGAGGGTCATGGTTCAGACTTAAATAGGGTTAATTATCATGGCAGTGATTCTAGTCTTAATTCGACGTCAGGTGATGTAAAAAATCTTAGTTTAAAGGAGGAGCAAAGGCCTGAATTACTAGGAAAGAGCATGTTGCCTATAGTCCATGTTGTTGGCCCAGAGCTACCAAAGGTTGAACTGAGTTATTTCGATGGAGAGCCAAGAGGTTATTTTAAGTTTATGAGGCAATTTGAGACGTATGTAGCATCAAGAGTCACGGATGATAGCCAGCGCTTGCTCTATTTGATACACTACTGTAAGGGCAAGGCTAAAACAGCTATTGAAGGTTGCGTCATGATGGAGGCATCCTCTGGCTATAAAAAAGCAAGGGAGATTTTAAAACGTTTTTTCGGACAGTCTCACGTAATTGCTCGAGAAACACTAGAGGACTTATTCAGTACTGTGAATTTTGAGTATATTGACGGGGACCAACTATCAAATTTGGCTATTAAAATGGAAAACTGTGTCATGGACTTGGAGCAGATGAATTATACTGTAGGGCCAGTGAAATGTCACTGAGCCCTAGCTAAATCATCCGGCAGTTGGATCACTGGATGTCGAACAGATCATCGCTCCCTGCCAAGGTCATGTACAAGCAACGCACATTAGTTAATCATACGTCATGGACTGACCCATGCGGCAGTGGTCTTACTTTCGCTTGTATCTACCTTAACTAATATATTTCTGTGATAACGTCCTCTGTGTTGTACAGTCTTCAAAGCATCTATGGTACCGTGATACGTCAATCGGGAAGTCCACGTAAGGTGCTGACCACAAGGTGTGACTTCGACATTAGCTAGTTTGTCACACCATTCATGTCTAACTCGAGTAGGCCTCCAATCATTTCGACATAGATCATCTACGTTGGTGATCTACAATACTTCTGATCTAAATTCCTTAGTTACCTTGGAAAGAATAGTGAGACTGTTGCCTCAACTTATGCAAGCCCAGTGGGAGGACTGGGTGGATAAATTGACTGAAGATAACAGGGAACTGACCTTCGACGAGCTCACTCAGTTTATAGCATCGCGTGCGAGAGTGGCTTGTAGTAGATTTGGACGGTTA